TTTTTTATTTGGTCATTTGTTTGAAGTAATATATAGTCAGTGAATATTACAAAACTCAACGTAACATGTGTGTGATGATTAGAAGTAATATACAGTTACTTCTTATTATTTAGTTGTTTAGTATGATAAGAAATACTTTTAGTAAGATTATAATTGTTTTTCAACTATTTAAGTAAGTACCTTAATTTTTGGCTGTTTACAAAGGAATTAGAAGACAATTTAAATTATGCACAATCAACAATTTTTTGATTTCGTGTTGATTTGATTCTGCTATTATGATGACCTATTAATCATTGTAATATTTTTATACATTATGAGACAGTACGTGAATCTTACTAATAGGAAAACGAAGAATATAACAATTCCTTACATGCTTATAATGATGACAATAAAAAAATTTATTTCTGACATACTACCTTCCTTAAAACATGATACCATGCTTGAATCGATTTGTGCAACTAAGATTGTTGAAATTGGAGAAAGTAGTGGATTAGGGCAGGGGTATAGCAATCAGGGGATACTTGACGGTAAGAGGAACAATAGAAAGAAATGGGCAGATTTGTGTAAGTCGTCAAATCAATTGGAGTACATAGAACCTGTCACTGTCGTAGAATGCAAATTGCTGATGTGCAGGAAGAGATTGATTACTGGATGTCTTCGGTTCTTTGCTATGTGTTAGGAGCTAATATTCCATACGGCATAATGTGTGGCTTCATCAGGAGGAACTGGGGGGGATTAGGCATTGATAAAATTCTGCTAATGGAGAATGGTGTTTTCATAGTAAGATTCAAGACAATCCAAGCTAAGGAAAAGATGTTGCGGCGAAATGTATACCATTTTGATAACAAACCTTTTATAGCTAAGGATTGGAACTTGAAGGAGGGTATCAAGAAGGAGGAGATCTTGAATGTCCCTGTCTGGGTACAACTGCCACAGCTGCCATTGAAGTATTGGAATGCAAAGTCACTTAGCAGAATGGCAAGTGTGGTTGGGAAACCAATTTAGATGGATGACACGACTACACAGAAGATGAAGGCATCATATGCTAGAGTTTTAATTGAGGTTACAATTCAAGAAGAGCTCCCTAAGGAAGTTTGGTATGAGGATGAAAAAGGGAAACTGATAATGCAGCCTCTCAAGTATGAATGGATGCCTATCAGATGCTCAAACTGCAAAGGATTCGGGCATGAAGGAGAGAAATGTAGGAAGCAACCTGTTGTCAAGCAAGTATGGTCACCACGGCAAGCTCCTGAAAAGCAGCCCGAATCAAACAAACCAGAATCATCAGTAAAAGAGATTGAACAGCCAACAGAAAAAGTTATGGAGGAATTGGATGCCGAATTAGGTCTCATATAGGAAGTGTACAAGGTTAAAAATATACGAGAAATTCTAAAGCCACGGTTTGGAAATGGAGAAATGCAATAAAGAGAAAAGAAGAGAGGGGCAGGGGAAGAGGACCAGATCAGAGGCTTAGCGTCAATGAATAATCTCCTAATTTGGAATATTAGGGGGCTCACAAACCCCCTGAAACATAGGGAGGTTCTCAACCAACTCTCTATGAATAAAGTGGGATTAGTTGGACTAGTGGAGACCAAGATCACTGAAGAAGTAATAAAACAGTTGAAAAGCAAGGAATGGGATAAGTATAGTATTTGTAGCAACCATTCAACAACCAGAAAAGGGAGAATAATGATCTGCTGGAAGGATGATGAATATAAAGTAGATGTTATACAAATGCATGAGCAATATGTGCACTTCAAAGTTAAAGAGTTTCACAGGAAGTATGAATATGAAATTACTGTGGTTTATGCAGAAAATAGAGCTGAGAAGAGAACTGAACTATGGGATGGAATCATTAGGTTAGCGTCTCAAATAACAGGGGCTTGGCTGGTAGCAGGGGATTTCAACTGCTTGCTTGATAGTAGGGAGAAGATAGGTGGGAATGCAGCAAATTTGAATGATATACAGAAATTTCAGTATGTGATTTAGCAGAGTCAGGTAATGGAAATGAAGACCTATGGGGGCTTATATACCTGGAATAATAAACAACTGGGTGAGAAAAGGATCTGTTCAAGACTGGACCGGGTTCTAATCAATGAGAATTGGATTGAAAGGTTTGATGCTGCGACAACAACGGTTTTACCAGAAGGATTATCAGATCATAACCCTCTGCTGGTCAAATGGAATGAGGAAAGGGTTAGGAAAAAATCGGCATTCAAGTATTACAATATATGGGCGGATCACCCAGATTTCTTGAGTTTGGTTAAACTGGTCTGGACTGAAGAGGTTAAAGGATATAAGCAATTCGCAGTTTCACAGAAACAGAAAAAACTAAAGCAAGTTTTGAAACAGCTGAACAAGAGACATTTTACAGACATAGATCAGCAAGTTCAGAAGAGCAGAGAAGAAATGGAGAAGATACAGAAGGATCTACTTCAACAACCACTGAATGAAGAGTTACATAAGTAAGAAAAAATGGTAACAGCCTGTTATTTGGAAAAAAGTAAAGCATCATACAGTTTCTGGCAGCAAAAGGCCAAGGAAAGGTGGATTCAAGAGGGTGATCTTAACACCTCCTATTTCCATGCTGTTGTCAAACAAAGGAATAGAAGGAATAAAATAATAGCCTATACCACTTCTGAGGGGATCATAGAAGAAGAATGGAGTAAAGTTGAATGTCACTTCCTGGGTTACTATCAGAATCTGTTGGGTGTAACAGAAAAGAGAATAGTCTCAGAAAAGGGAGTTTACAAAGAAGGTCATCTACTTACACTTCACCAAAAGGTCGGGCTGTTAAAGGAATGCTCAGCAAATGAAGTCAAAACTGCTTTGTTCTCCATTGATAAAAACAAATGCCCTGGTCTTGATGGCTATGGCAGTGGTTTTTATCAAAGAACATGGGAAATTGTTGGTAATGAGGTCACCGCTGCTATTCAGGAATTCTTTACCAATGGGGAACTATTGAAGCAATAGAATGCTACGGTGATCTCTCTAATTCCCAAGACAATTATACCTAGGGATGCAACAGAATATAGGCCCATCTCCTGTTGCAATACTCTGTATAAGTGTTTGTCTAAAATACTAAGCAACAGATTGGGAGAAGTTCTGCCAGACTTGATCAATGAAAACCAAGGAGCCTTTGTGAAAGATCGATCTATCTTGCATAATGTTCTTCTGACACAGGAACTTATGAGGATCTATTATAGGAAGGCAGCTTCTCCAAGATGCATCATGAAAGTGGATATTAAAAAAGCCTTTGACTCAGTTTCTTGGGGATTTGTGGACAAAATGCTAACAAAATTTGGATTTCCTGACAGGTTCAAGAGCTGGATTATGAAATGTGTCACCACCAGTTGCTACACTCTCAACCTTAATGGCCAGTATGTGGGATATTTCAAAGGTAAGAAGGGCCTCAGACAGGGGGATCCCCTGTCCCCCTTACTTTTTGTCATGTGCATGGAATACCTCACTAGGAAATTTCATATGGAAGCAGCAAAACCTGGGTTTAAGTTTCATCCTCACTGTAAAAAGCTCAGAATTACAAATCTCAGCTTTGCTGATGATTTGATAATTATGTGCAAAGCAGAAGTGGGCACTGTCAAAATAGTAAAGGATGTGTTGGACCACTTTGCTGGTACAACAGGGTTGAAGGCAAACCTGCAAAAATCAAACATCTTTTGTGGTGGAGTCAAAGACAAGGAATTAGAGGAAATTTATCAAGAATGTGGGTTTCAAAAAGGTGAACTCTCGATGAAATACCTCGGGGTACCCCTTTCACCAACAAAATGGAAGGAAGAAGACTGTCAGGTCATGGTCAACAAGGTGATAGGCAGGATTAAAAGCTGGACTTCTAAGCATTTGTCATATGCTGGAAGAGTGCAACTAGCGAACTCTGTGCTATTAACTATGCACACTTACTGGGCCAGAATCTTCATCTTGCCGAAAGGAGTGATACAGCAAATAACAAAAATCTATCGAGAATACATATGGGGCACTAGAATAGACGGCAGAGCTCACCCTCTGATTGCTTGGGATCTAGTATGTAGACCTAAAGCCCAGGGGGGTCTTAACATTAAGGAGCCAAGTGTTTGGAATGAGGCAGCAATTGGAAAGCAAGTCTGGGAGCTTGCCATGAAAAAAAGACTGTCTCTGGGTCAAGTGGGCACATGAGATTTACATCAAACAACAAAATATCTGGGAATTGCCAACCAAAGCTGACTCTAGTTGGCATTGGAAGGCTTTACTCAAGGTGAGAGATAAGCTTAAAGGAGGTATGATGGGTAGCTCTTGGATTGGACACCCTTCTGTGCAATACAATATACAATCCGGTTATAAGTGGCTACGAGGGGAACAACCAAGGATGAAAGAAGTTGAAATCATTTGGAATAGGCAAAGCTTGCCAAAGCATAGTTTTATATCTTGGGTGGCATGGCATAAGAAGCTCTGGACGCAAGAAAGAATGGCACATCTTCATCTGCTGGCTGGAAGAGTCCAATGTGAGCTGTGTCAGGCTCCCACGGAGTCAAAGGATCATCTTTTCTTTCAGTGCAGTTGTTCTGATCAACTGCTGCAACGTTTGGTAGGATGGCTTGGCATCGATACACTGCCGAGGAACATGCCTGGTTGTCAGAAAAGACTAAGGAAGATATGGAAGTACAACAAACTAAAAAAAGGTATATTGTTTGCTGCTGTCAATGCGTGTATATATCATGTGTGGCAGGAAAGAAACTATAGGAAGTTTGCTGGGAAAAAGATGGAGGCAATGATTAGAGCTGAGCAGATTCAGAGAGAGTTATTATGGAAACTTAAAGCTTGTTACAAGTCCTTTAGAACTGGTGATAAAGAGTTTTTGTATAGATTAGGCTATACTGATGTATGAAATGAATGACAGATAGGGCAGGAAGATGACAGGGAAGGAAACTGTATGATTGATTGTGGAAGTTTTTGGAATGATATTTTACCTTTTATCAAAAAAAAAAAAAAGCATTGAAATCAACAAATTAGACATGCTTTTTATTAGTTAAAGCCTGATGTTCTTGATCGTCGACGTCAATCTCAACAACTTTCCACTTTTGAATAGAACTAACAGGAGTGATAGGTTCATCGTCTTGATCATATTCAGTTCCAATAGAGCTTGAACCAGTCACCTGTTTATTGGATGAATGCAAGTCAAACTACACACGTATTATAAAATGATTGAGATATCCGAAATTGCATAACATGACAAACCTTGGGGATGTTTGAGGAAACAGACCGCGAAATAGCCACATTAGATGTATCCAGATTGGTGATACTGTTATCATCTTCAATCTAAGTTTTGAATAATACCATTAAAAAATTAACTAACTGAAATATAGTAAAAATAGTAAATACATGTTTTATATGGAATATATACATCAACAAATTTAGGGCAAACCTCTACAGGACAAACAACATTCTCAAATTTTTTAATAAGTATGGGATCCTCAATAATTTTTGTGCATTTGTAAACCGTCGACCCCGTTTGTATGACATAATCAGTCGCCTCAAATTTGAATATGAGCCTCTTCCCCACAAGTTGGTAAAGTTCCTCCAGTATTTGATTGTTGGGGGTACCCTAAATAAGGCAATAATAGGAAAATAATTGAAAAATTTATTAGTGCAATTCTTAACATAGCAAATTTAAATAATTCTGAATTTATCAATACAAACTGGTGGAATAGTTTCTCTGATTTGTTCGCATGATTTATTCATTAGATGGCGAATACAATCATCAAACATCACAAAAGTGCAAGATCCCGGTGTCCCATCTTCAACATCAAGTCTCATTTTGTATCTAAGAAACATTTGAATATAAAAAAATCATAAGAGGAAATAAATATGGGTATTCTCGTAATAGAAAATTAATATAAATATTTAAACATTCATTTTTTAATTTGTATGTACCTTGGACTTGCTGTGGTTATTGGTTTAGGACAGCCTTCGGTCTCACAACGAAACACTGTCTTTGAAGGAATTTGTGACCTCGACTTCTTAGACGATGTTTCGCCTTCAATTTTTACCACAACAATTGGAACAGCCTCTTCCTTTACAGATTTGTGACATTTGCGGCAACTAATATAATACCATCCAAAATCCGGATCAAGAGCCTCAATAGTGGCAATAAGTGCATAGTTTGACCTTGGCTAAAAAAAAAAAGAGAATTTATACAAATTAAACCTGTGTGTAACAAAATAGTTATATAATTAAATCAGCACTTACTATAGTTATAGTCGACAACTCTTCAATGGTGATTTTATGCCATGTAATGACATCATCAATTGTTCCTGATTTTGGGTGAGGCTGAAGCACATTAATCTTCGCATTTTCATCAAATCCAGCAGTACAAGTGATTCCGTTTACAACAATACATACATATAAATGGAATTGTTAATAAACTTTGAGATATGAAGAAAAAAAGTACGTTGTACGATAACGGTGTACCTTTGCATGAAGTCGACAATTTCTAGCAACTCTTCATTTAGATAAACATTAGTACTCCATAAGGAATTTTGAATTCTTCTAGTATCTGTTGTAAAAAAAAATATTTGTTTGAATACATAATAAAAAAAAATCATAAAATAATAAACGAAAAACAATGTCTAATTAGGTAAATACCCTCATATGCATTAATCATTGCATTGCTGATGATTACAATGACTCGGATTGATCCAGTTGCATTGATATGATTTTGGACCTTTAATGCATGATTACCCCATGGGGTGCACTTTAGAATTTCATCACTGCAACATTTAACATAACTAATTATTGTGAGTTGAAATTGATATGGAACATGGAAAAATCAGTAGTGTAAATTATTCTTACCTTTCATTCATAATGTGCAATTCCATATGATGTTGATTTCGACCTCTTGCCATTTTTGTTGTCAGACACTTGTTGTTTTGATCTGCCCTATTACGTCTTTAAAAATAAACAACCAATAAACAAAACCGATTAAATCCACATATATTTTATGACTTTGATACTCATGGAAAAAAATTCATCATTTATTTAATAATACAAAAAATGCATACCTACTAATTTGGATAAATCTTTTGTCGCATTGATATAGGCGAAACTGACAAAATCAAAGCCATGGATTCCTCCAAAATTGGTAGTGTCAACATACGGGCCTGGTTCGATTGTCGTACGCTCATCAAATTTAATCCGGAAAACATGTTTGCACTGCTTGAATCTCTCTCCTTTTTTTGCACATCCGAAGTTAGAGATCAGTAAAGAAGTAGCTTCAATGAGCTTTTCGTTGAAACGATGAAAGTGGTCACGATGGACCCCGGCAACAATCCTGTCACCCTGAGTTAAGAAAAAATTGCGAAAAAAATCTATTTATTTTTATTTCTCGAACAAAAACATGTATCTATCTCAATAATAATTAACGGTGACAATAAAGTATAGGAGCTTACATTTGAATCCATAAGAAGCATTTCACGGCTCTCAACTCTGTCCCAATTTTTAAAATGATGGCGATCCCACAACTTGCACAACTTGACGTTAATCAGCCATCCACATCCGGTACTTCCATTTAATTTTTTGACAGAATTTATCCTCCTAGCCTGAGCCATTGTAAGAGAACAAAAGAGGGAGAGGAAAAGAATAAATTTTAATGATATGCTATAAAAGTGTATATTAACATGAATAGGTGAGGAGGTGTTGGGGAAACTAAGCGTACGGTTTATATAGAAGGAGATTTAGCGTAAAGGACGTATTAGGGTTTATAATGTTTTGAGGCGCGAAACTAAATTTAAAACCAGTTTAAATATGGGAGTATATCAATTAGTTAATTACACGGATTCAAATTTTTGATTCTCAGTTAGTATCTTATCTATCTTATATGATCTCTAATAAAAAGGATAAGTAGAACAATAGTTATCTAAGTGAATCATAAATGTAAATTTGGACTACATTCAGAAGGTAGTTTCATACTATATTTGAAATACTTCAAATTTGAATTGTATATCAATTACGCAATTTCGGCAATTATTTAATTAAGATGAAGGTAGTTGCATATGGTAATTATAAGTCTAATTTAATATCTTATTATCTATTCTATATGATCAGTAATATATATAAATATAAATATATATAATAAATATATAAATAACATGCGGATGGTAGTTTCATATGCTAGTTGAAATACTTCAAATTTAAATTGTAGATCAATTACGGAATTCACATCAATTAATTAACTAAGATAAAGGTAGTTTCATACGATAATTATGGGTATAATTACACGAATATATATTCCCCAAATATATATTCCTCAAATACAATCCGGAAAAATCTTCTAAATGAAATTTGAATTAAATTGGTTTCATATTATCCGGTTCTGAAATTTAAAATTCCTAAAATTATGCATGGTGGACGCAGTTCGTTCATGGTAAGATGAATGTATGAAGAAATGATGCATAATCATTTAGGTTTTTGAGAATTACACACATAATTTAGCAAAATGGTAGGAAGGGATGTGGGAAGTCTCTAGCAAAGAAGAATACAACCAGCAATTGAACGAATGAATTGCTCATTATCAGCCGATGACTATGTCCGCCAACTATTTCCCTTCAATGGAGTTTCTAATCAACGGTGATCTCGTCCGTGATAAATTGGAAATCGTGTTCCAACGATTCCGGCGAAGCATGTGTATAGTCCATTTAAAATAATCAATCAACAGATAGGATTATTTTTTTGTGGATATAAGTTGTGTATATCCAATGATGATGTCGACGGCAACTATTTCTGATGATTACATTAACTTCGTGTATCAGCAGCTGCCATCACCTCAGGTTAGCCAGCCGGAGTTATTTCACCGGTTATTTGAATGATAAAATTGTGAATTATCGGTGAAAAGGTAAAACGGATGATATATGTAAAAATATCATAAATGTTTTACTATGCAAGATTACAGTCATGAGGTGTAGTTAAAGATTAGTAAAAAGTAATAAACCAATAAAATGCTGACACATAGACTACTGAAGTTTCTGAACGAATGAAAAGTGGACACGCGTTTTTGGAAATTATTAGTGATCTAATAGTGCGACATGTGTCTTGTGAGAAAAATTTCCTTTATATATAGTAAGATATCCTTCAATCACTGTTTCAAATCTCAAACTTTCAATTTTGTGATTTTTTTTTCCCTCTCAATTAAATTAGTAATATAATTGTTTCCCTGATAATCGGCTTTGAAGAGAAACCTAGCCTTCCTCTCCTCCCATTTCAGTTCTCTTCTTAACTCTATGGATGCGGCCAAAACCATCACGGAAGATAAATCATGCCAGAATCCTGGAAAACGACCGGCGACCGGTGACGGAGGAGGAAACTAACCGTCCTGAGCAAAAACAAAAGCCAAAAATCAATCCTAATCTGGGCGGTGATTTTTCCAATCCAAAATCAGGGCTGAAAACTCACAAGGTTGAAAAAGATTGTTTCGGATATATACCAACAGTTGTGCGGGATTTGTACAGTATTCAAATCGAATTATCGAACCTACAGATTTCGAGAGATGCAAGCATGATTTCTGCTAACGACTGCGTCGGTAAATATGTGGAAACAAACCTGGAGAAGAAAACACACACTATTTGTGTGCCCGGGTTGCAAAGTGGTAATCGGGATTGAATCATGTGGGTATATCTTGCCCGTTGATTTGCGTGTGAAGTGGGATAAATTGCTCTGTGAGGCACTGTTTCAGGATCATGAGAAATGTTATTGCCTTTTTGAGGATTGTTCAGAACTGATGGTTAAAAAGATATCAATGTAGTTACGAATGAAGTTATTATCAAGGAAGCAGAGTGTCCTTCTTGCCATAGATTGTTCTGCGCACAGTGTTCTGTCCCATGGCTTTCTTCACTTGGTTGCGACGACTTTCAGAAACTCAACAGTGGCGAATAAATGAATCTGGCAAAAACTGAACCATCCATATGGCTTATCTGATCCTGATAGATTTCAGGAATTAGAAAATTAGGTTGTCTTGTTAGTTCCTCTTTCTGATTGAATTTTTTGCAATTTTAGTGCAAATGGCGTATTTGATTTTTGCAGATTGTTATCTGTGACATGTTGCATCACTCAGGAAAGTATATTTGCACGTTTTTCATCCAACATTACACATAGATTCTTCAGAGAGGTTTGAATTGTTAGCACTCCAAGACCAATCTATTCGATCAAGACAAAAACAGAAAAGGACAAATAAGTGAATAACAACAATGGTACTCATGAATGTTTCAATTTCTTAAATTCGCAAGAAATTTGCGTTCATTCGCAGCGCAATTTCTTTATTACAATCTCGTTGACTTTGCATTCATAGCAGAGATTAGAAGTTGATTTGGGAAGGATGGATGCACTACACCAAGATGTAGAACTTGTTCTAATCCTCCCTTCGTTGTCACCAAGAAACCATTAGAGCGGAAAATCCACACCTTAATAATTATGAAAGAAAAATAAAATCAAATTTCAAGTGCTACATTATTTCATCTCATCTATCGTTTGACATCATTGGTTCCAAATTGATATGGGTTCTTTGACTATTTCCTACCACATTACCCTGAAAATCCAATCCTTTTTATGCAGAGTGCAAGTGTTCAACATCATCGACAGTAAAATTCATTTCGCAAGTTATAGACATTTGGCTAAAGGATATTCGAAAATGATAAGTATCCATTCGAAACACCTTCGACTAATGTTCTGTATTTGACATAGTCATTATGAAATGGAAACGTCATTAAGAAGAGTAATTATCAATATAGTGGCCCTTGGGATTTTGTCAAAATGCTTTAATCTGATCACATGATGTAGAGAATCACTTCACGACTACTCTTCTTACTTAAAGTCTTTGTCTACGTTAACAAGAAAAAAGACTTAAGTGTATGCATCATGTATGGTCTCCTTCCACACGATCTCAAATTGTCATATCACTGAATATAAACATCTATCGAGTTGGATTGGACATTTTGCCAATCATTTGAATCCATGAAATACTCATTTCCTTTCTTCCCAGAGGACAAAGGTGGAAGATTAATTACTTTTTTGGGACGAGCAGTGGACTATTACTGTTTTGGAATAGGACGAGCATTAATTGAAAGTTATTGACATTTCAGAATGTGGGTGGGTGGGTAGTCAATCAGCAAGTCTGGTTTTTATTTTCTTTTTTTCAATGAACTTTCTAAACAAGGGTTTCTATAATTTCCGCTCTACATAATTTTCTAATGTTCATCTTTCTCTTTGACTAGGTCAGAAGTAAATTAATTCAATTAATTGGAATTTTTTCCTGCTTTTTTTTTTTTTTTGGTACGAAGAAGGGTTTTGGTACAAAGAAGAAATTATTTAATTAGAAATTTCCGTTTGAATCTTCTCCGTTGCCAAAAGTCTTTTCAATCTTCTGTTGAACAAAAAATATATTTTGGCAAACACAATCATCCGCCGATCCACCGGCCGATGGTGGCGACGCAGTGGCAGGTGACTGCAAATTTGATTGCAACATTGACAAATGACAAGTAAATACTGTAAATGGGCAAAACAAAATCGGAAGAGTGATTAGTGAAGTTTAAGGGACCAACAATATCCTCGACCCTAAAATTATAAAAGGGTATATTGGAATTTCGTGGATATGACAAATTCTAAATGAGAAAATAATACTAAATAAACAGATGAAACACTACGTTGTTAGAACTTCTAGTCAACTGTATGTGCCAATTTATAGTTTTAGGCATGACTTCATTCGTTGTAGTAAACAAAAAATAAAATAAAATAAACCTCCAGAGAGAAAGTCATTCTTGATTCTGGGATGAGATAGAACCACATTCTTGTTGCCACAAATTTGAACTATTATATTTTTATTTTTTTTTTGCTATATTTGTCCGAATTCATTACTCTGATTAATGCGGAGGTATGTCCTGATTCTTATAAAAAGTATCTTATAAACAGAACCAGAAATAACTTACAGATTTCAAATTGGTTACATTTATAATTCTTATACAAAATCTTGAATGCTACCTTAATTCTTGATAGTGATAGGGAAGGAAAGTTTAAAGGGGAGTTCAACTGGACTCATTATGTCCTAGTAGAAGGAGGATAGTTTACACTTATTTTTTAAGTGTGAAGTCTCTCAGGTCATTTGGCCCTTGGCTTTTCCTCTGTTTGGCCTAATTTTTAACTCTACATATGACTCCTTGTATCAATGGTTTATTCACTAGACTCAGTCTGATCCCGCTAAAGAGGAGGTTGATTTGTTTTTGATGATCATATGGAGGATCTGAAGATAATAAAATTGAGAGACTTGGCAGCTCAATGTGTGTCCATCACTAACGGAGCAATGAGTTGGACTGCCCCTGAATAATCATACTCCTCACAGGCATGTTATCAGATGTTAGCCCCTCATGCTCCCTCTCAATGGTGGTCTCGGCTGGTATGGTCAAAACTTACTCCCCAAAAATACTCTTTCATATCTTGGTTATGCTGATTAGATAGATTGGCGGTGAAAACTAATGTGGCTAGGTGGAATCCATCTGTGGACACATTATGTGTATTCTGTCATCAAAAGGCTTAAACTGTAAAAAATCTTTTCCTTGGAATGTCAGTTCTCTTTTCAAGTGTGGCAAGGTGTCTGTGAATTTAATGGATGGAGACTCCCAAGTTCTTGGGATACACTTGCAAACCATTACCTATATAAGTGGAAGAAGGATATTCTGGAATCAGCTATGAAACTTTGTTGGTGTGCATCGATTTATTTCATATGGAGACAAGGAATGACATTATTCACGAAAATGATCCGGCAGTGGTTTTGAAGATAATCCAGAAGATTATCTTCCATGTGAAGATTAGATATGCATCTGTTGAAAAGATTCCTAATTCTTCAAAAGTTTTAGATTGGTTTAATAGGATACATTTGTATCCCCTAGTGGTTAACAGAAAACACTTGAACTAATTGTTTTAGTTAGTTTGATTTGTGATATTTGTGTTGACGAAGCATACAGATTGGTGTAAATTAAACCTTAAATATGGTAATGAAATTAGCATTCTTTAACAAAAAAAAAAAAAATCCAATGGAAGATCTGGTTGGAGAGGAATGATAAAATTTGGAGAAACCAATCTCATGATTCGGCCGTATCTTGAAGACTTATCCAAAACGAAGTTACTTTGCACAAGTAAAGTCTCGGTAGACTGGGAGTTGAAAGACCTTCTCCCAACACACAATCATTGCTAACACCAAGGGGTCCGGCAGAGTCCTTGGTCATTTTTTATGGTTCATTTAGCCATCAAACACGCAACACAGCTGGTGCTTGGAAGATCCTATCACATCATGGTATGGTGATGCAAATCAAAGCGGTGGATCTAAATATACTTTCTCATTTTCAAGCCGAGGCAATGACTTGTCTTTTGGCCTTGAAAGAGGCGTTACATTTAGGGATCACTCGACTTCAAGTTTATACTAACTGTGAATCTTTGACTGGAGATTTACGGTCTGCTTTAATACCTTCTGAGGATCAGGAGGTGGTTTCTTTGTTAGTTAGTTGTATTTCTTTATTTCAGTCTTGCTCACTGATTAAATTGAGTAGGCAAGATGTTGTAGAACTACATAATTTAGCATTTCATAGAATATGTGGTAATAACTTAGGTACTTCTTAAATAATATACAGGTACCTTTTTAAAAAAAAGAAATAAAAAAGAAAAAGGAAAGGTCTTATAGAATGAGGTACAGTTTATAGAATAGAGAGAACTATATGAATATTACAATAATCACTATTCTAGTAATTTATAATATATATCTTCCAAGAACCCATAGTAAGCAAGACGCCATGAAACCTTATAATAAAGAATGGAGAAAAAACCCAACAAACCAACTAGAAAACCAGGTAGTGAACCAGCATAAAGCCATGAGAACTCAAACTCATCTTCCTTGTCCCGATGATCGGATTCCGGTCCCAATGTGAATGGTACGTCACCGGGGCAGCTCTTCGCGACCGGCCTACCACAAAGACCGAAATTGCCTAGGTAAATAGATAGGTTATTCAATGTATCGAAATGATTTCCTGATGGTATCCGCCCTGACAAATTGTTGAATGACAAGTTGAGGTAACTCAGGGTGTCTATAATGGCCAAACTTGTAGGAATATGTCCTGAAAGTTGGTTCATTGACAAATCCAGGGATTCCAGGTTCTTCAAATTCCCAATTTTCTCTGGAATTCTCCCTGTCAACTTATTGTTTGACAGATTCAAACTTTTTAGCCCTTCAAGCTCCAATAACTCATTCGGGATCTCGCCATCTAACCGGTTTCCTGACAATGAAATGAACTTCACAAACTGAAGGATGTTTGTGCTATACTCATACTCGATTCCTTTTACTATATTCGAAACCGTATCAGTGTACGTGTCGAATGTAAACAATGAACCCATGTCATTTGAGGCCATCTTACTTAAGCCATTTACACATTTCGGGATCTGACCAACCAAATTGTTCTCTGCAATATTTAAAACTTGCAGCTGTGACAGTTTGCAGAGATCCGCTGGAATTTTCCCCTGAAATTCATTAGACTGAAGCCTGAGAATCCTCAAATCCCCGATTTCTCCAATCCAGCTTGGTATGGTACCCGTCAATCGATTCTCCCCGAGATCAATAGTTAACAGGAATACCAAATTCTTCAAAAATGAAGGGATTGGGCCGTACAACTTGTTTCGGTTCAAATGCAGAAACATCAGCGTCTGGATTTTACTCAGTGAGCCTGGAATTCTGCCCGAAAGACTGTTGTTTGAGAGATCTAGCACATTTAAAATCCCAAAGTCTCCAAAGTTTCCAAAACAGGGAGGAATTCCTCCAGTCAGGTGGTTGTTGGAAAGGGACAGGATTGAAAGTGATGATAAATTGCACATGTAATCAGGAATGTTTCCAGTGAAATTGTTGTTGCCAAGTTTAAGAACTGCAACTGAGTTATTCCTGATCTTATCATCATAGAAAAAAATCGGCCCGGACAAATGGTTATTGGAAAGATCTAACACATGCATATCAGGTGGAAATTGTATCAATGGTCCATGAAAATTGTTGCCTGAAAGGAACAAGTCTTTGACACTAGCAGTTCGGAACCATTCCGGAATAGTACCGGAGATGCTGCAATTTATCATGGACAACAGGGAAAGATTCATTTGGGTTTGAACCCAATTAGGAAACAGAGTTCCTATGAAAACAGAATCCATGGAAAGTTCCTGAAGTTGGAATGGAGGGATCCAATGTAAACTCAAATTTAAGGTAAGATGGTTTTGTGACAAAGACAACACCTTCAAGCTTCTGAGTTTCAGAAAATGAGATTCCGACAGCTCACCGGTCAGTGAATTGCGAGAGATATCCAATTCTCGAAGGTTGACGAGTTCCCCTAGAGTCGGAGGAACTGCACCAGACAACTGATTTTGGTGAAGATACAAAACTCTCAGCTGCTTTAGCTGTCCGAAACTCGAGGGAATCGATGATTTGAAGGAGTTGAAAGAAAGATCAAGAGAACTTAAGCTTTTGAGATGACCCAACTCAGGTGGTAATTCTCCAACAAAGTTGTTGTTTGAAAGGTTAAGCACTCTAAGAGAACTCAAATTCCCTAGTCCAAGAGGAAGTGATTCACCAACTTCCTTGTTTTCATCATCCCCAGAAGGCTGATTCTTGGAGAAAGAAAAAGTTTCAAGGTTTGTTAGCTGTCCGAAACTAGAAGGAATAGAGGAATTCAAATGATTGAATGAAAGATCAAGCGTAACCAGTTCCCTGAGATGACCAATCTCACTTGGGATTTTCCCAACAAAATTATTGTCATTAAGATTGAGTAGCTTTAAAGAGGTCAGGTTACCAAAGCAAGAAGGAATCGATCCTTGAAGCTGATTGAATCCGAGATTGATAGAAGAAATGAGACTCCTGCTCTGATCAAACAATGAACACGAAAGCGAAGACGAATTGAATGAGTTCTCAGAAAGGTCAAGCAAAGTTAACGAGGTCAAGTTTCCTAACATGCTTGGAAGTGGACCTTGAAAACCATTACTATCAAGCCTAAGAACCGAAATCTGGTCAGGAAGTTTAAGCAACCATGGAGGGAAAGTAGAACCGAAATCATTTTCGCCAAGATCAAGCGAAACAAGCGAAGAAGATGAGAAATTTTCAGAAGAAAATTTGGTACCACCGACTAGTTGACAACCCCTTAATTTTAACATCACCAAAGAAGGAAGCATATTGACAGAATCTAACCAATCATGACTATTATTCAGGTTCACCCGAGACAGGTCCAAGCTTTGTAAAGAAGAAAGCCCGGTAACCCACTCGAGATTTTTCGAACTTAAAAACGATGATGATGATGATGATGACGGTGAGCTAAGATCAAGGTGTTGAAGGCTAGAAAGATTTCCAAGATGACGAGGGATTTCGCCGCCGAATCCCGCGTTGGAGAGGTTGAGATACCTCAGGTTTTCCAAGGATCCAAGAAATTCAGGGATTGGTATTCCTGAGAAATCATTGGAACTGAGATCCAAATACTGCAAATGCTCCAAATGCATCATGGAACGATTTATTAGACCTCCCAAGTGTTTGTTACCGAGATCAAGCCTCTCGACACGCCCTGAAGAGTTGTTGCAGGTGATTCCTTCCCAATTACAGCAATCTTGATGATGATCTCCAGCACCCCATGATGATAGAAGTTCATCATCATCAACTAGGCCTTTTTTCAGGTTCATAAGAGCCTGTCTTTCATTATCCATGCACCTAACAACTTTGACACTGGAAGGGTTTTTGGAATGGCCAAAATGAATCTGGAAGATGAACAGAAGAAAGAAAACAAAAGTACCACCATCACGCAGATTTGCCATATAGTTTGATTGAGTCACTGACTAACAATAGAAAATGTATTTTATTTTTTTTTTCTTTCTTTTCGATGAAATTTGATGTGCCACACAATTGCTTACAAAGATGGTTTTTTATACACTACCCTGTTCGGATCTTGTGCGTGGAAATGACTTCGAAAGACCATGAAAGACTAAGAATAGCACATTGACTTAGAAAAAGTCTTTCTTTCTTTTTTTTTTTTTTTTTCTTCCCCTTCTTTTTTTGGCACAACATACGGGAATTCCGTATCCGGGTTAGATAAATTTTTTTTGGAAGGCGAATTTCTCCTAGCAAAATAGCCTCAAGTCTTTTTAAGTCAAGATAGTCTTTTCTAAGTCAACTGTGAGTCATCAATTTTGGAAAACTTGACACGTTCAGTGTTCTCACTTGATACGTTTCTAGTACTACTATTTTAGAGAGAAACTGTTGTCCATTCGATTAATAAACCAAGTTATTGGAAGTTGGAACAGAACTTTCCCACCAATATCGAAATTATTGTAACATTTGCATTTGATTGTATGGTCACACAACAGAATTTTTCTCAATTTAATTAAGCGGTTAATAATGCTGTAAAGCCAAGTTTTGTAACTATGGAATGATTACGTCTCTAAACCATAAATTTTTGGTAGTTTAGTGAAACTGATTTCTTGTAACTAGGTTTTGACCTCTTCCACTACACCAAATATATATATATATATAAGGTAACGTCCAAAAAGAAAATGCCTTAGTTATATTTTCATGTCACATAGGATTTAATCATATGTGGTAAATTTAGAAAAATTTCAAATTTTTAAAACAACTAAAAAAATGGTAACTACTAACCAAAAAATCTCAACAAACTTCAAATCTGCATGTATAGGAGTAATTCAATGGAAAAAGCAAGAACTTAAAATAATGAATAAAAGAGCAAAATTGATTCTTTTTTTTTTTTGGGTTAACAACAAAATTGATAATTTGAGAAATTTTTTGCAAAAAATCTATAATTAGTAAAAATAGTGTAAGAAGGATTAAATGAGGAAAAAAGTTTGGATGGTATTATTAAGGGAAAAAAAATATACCCCCATTTTAGTTCTTAAACATAAAATTTTTTAAAACGAGTGAAACCAAAACAAACGAATAAAGGGTTAAAAAATGAAACACACTACATTGAGAATCATATTAACTTATATGAGAAAGACTAAATAGAATAAAAATATAGTTGAGTGATATTATTATTAGATGAAAAAATTATATATCTATCCAATAAGTTCTAAATAGAAAATTTAAAATACGAGTGAAGTCAAAATAAAGGAAAAAAGAGAAGATACATCTACCATTAAGTTCTAAATATGAAGTTTCTGAAAAATAAGATATATAAATGGGTAAAAAAAATAAAAAATATAATAATTCAAGAATCATTTTAAATAACTTTAAAAGGAATGAATGGTGAAAAAAAAAACAGTGTCATTAACAGGACCAGGTTCTCTGTGACACTTTCCTGCTACACTCTCTGTCAAATAATCAAATTATTTGTTATTGACTATATATTTTGTGCTAATACATATATGTACCATAAACAAACATATTCATTGTAGATAATTTTCATATGGCTATTTTATTTTTTGTATTATTTTTTTAATTTTAATGAAATTTGACCACTTTTAGTGAATTTTTTTATCAATGACAATTAAAATAAATAGACGATAATCCAAAATAAATGAACCCTTAGTCCTAAATATAACATCAAAAGTGATAATGAATGGTGTAAATGTTAACGGAAACAACAAAATTATATCAATTTGAATTGTAACATAGAGTGTAATAGAAAAGTGGTACAGATGATCCCGTGCCCTCATTAAGAGAAAATAACGGGTCATGTTTTGGCAAAAAACATAATTATAAGTAGAAAATGCAAAACAACTAAAATAAATTAATGAAAATGTAAAATAACTAACATACAATACAATGAGAATCACTATCAGTTATACGAGAAAAACTAAATGGAGAAAAATACAGTTGAGTGATATTATTAAGAGAGGAAAATTTTGATACATATACCACTCAATTTTGAATTCTAAATCTCTAAAAGTGGATGAAATTAAGACAAAACAGAATATTAATTAGGGAGTATCAAATATTTAGAATAAATGAAAATATGAGAAAACAGTTTAATTATAATAATTTTAAAATGTACGTTACATCGGTAAATCTTTAATTTTATTGTTTTTTCATATTTTGTTATACATATGAGTTATTGTAATTAATCATTTGTCATGTAAATATTAAAAAAATTTTGAAATTATATAGGAGGAGGAGGGAGCAAAAGCTTGGTTATAATTTAAAAACAAAAACTGTGGTAGACCAACCTAATATAAAGTTTCTAAGCAGAAATTCACTTCAAACCATCAAAATAATTTACTCACTGTAGTATATTTTTTGTACTTGTGCTTATTCTATTTACTCCTGGAATAAGAGGCTGATTCACAGGAGATGGACATGGTGTTGATTAAAATCATATTCATCTTATTCTGTTTAATCTTTATATGCACTTTTTTAATATGTATATATAACCAAATATTTTTTATTTGATGTTAAAGTAAGTTGAAGGTTTTGTTTGCTTTGTTTTTATGATAGTTTTTTCAAAATAATTTCATAATAACTTTCAATCTTAGTATACATTTTTACATTTTCAATATATTTTTTAACAATATACTTTTTATTTCATTATTTTTATTTGAATATGGTTATCCCGTCCAACAGACGAGTGTAACATCTAGTATGTATATATATATATATATATAGATATATTACAAATCATTAAAACACTTCAAATTTACTCCTGAAAAATTGTAAACAGTTTAATAATGTCAAAAAATAGACCATAATAAACGGGCAAACTTATACAAATGTATAATGTATTGGTTTGTGATACGAATAAATCACTTTTTGCATGATCAATTTTATGCAACTACTAAACAAGTGCAATTGAAGAACAACAACTCTGCCCTGCGCTTAGTGCCCAAGTTTTTTTCTTATTTTTTTTAAAAAAGGTGTTTGGTTGCTCAAAATTAGCCCTAACTAATTCAGATTCGAGTTTGAATAGCCCCTTTTTGAAATCATGTTAGCCTGTCTTATAACATAAAGGATGTGCAATATTGGCAACACATTACGCTAACTTCAAATGCTGAAGCAGCAAAAACGAACAGCAATGAGCTAAAAATGAAGGAAAACGTCTGAGATTTATTTGTACAAAGAAGTCAAAGTGCAGACAAAGCAACACCAATATATACGGCAGTTAGTCTATTTCCATCCGCCGGCCAGTGGGAGCGAGAAGTTTAGGATATGTTTGGCATTTCTTCCATCAATCATTCTGGATCAACTCTTTATATCAACAGTATATGATTTCAGAGGTCATCCATGACCAAAAAGAGATTTTCACTGCATTGAGTTGCAAAACTCCGGGACCTGTTTTTTTTTTTTTTTTTTTTTTTTTTTTCTCTTGAAGCGTTTAAGGTTGTTAAGAACTTCATGGTTCATCATTCAAGCAAACAGAATTATACCCAAATTTATTTTATAGCTCTAGTAAATTTCAACCCTCAGAAACTTTAATTACTTTATTATTCTAAAAAAGAAACACCAAACTACTAAAACTGGGACATTTTTGAGTAATAAGAACAGCTTCATAGATTGATACTATCAAGTCAAAAACAAACTAGGATAGACATTTGCAACAAGATTGATACTATCAAAATTCTAGTTCAGTTAGAATTTTGTTAAAGCAAAGGATGAAAGATAAACTAGAAGGGCTCACCTGCTTCAGAATCCTAAACAGCAAACCTAAGTACCTAACTTACTTAGTAATCATCTTCTTCTTTTCTTTTCTCTTTTTTTTTTTTTTTGATAATAAACTTACCAATTATCAAACTGACTATCAACATCGAAAATTTACCAAGATTGATTATCATATTTCTCTAGACAATCACTCAAGAAGTTATAGCGTTTTGGTCGGCCTGAAGAAATTCCTCTTTCTCTTCCTTTTCTTCTTTGCTTTTCTGGTTGGCTGTGATAGATTCAATGAGTCTCAGTAAACAACTCTCCACATGATCACTGGATTTCCCTCTTGGCATCAAGTTCTCAGCCACATCACAAGGGCTAACATCATTTTCTTCCAACAATTCTCTGATTTCTCCAAACAAAGGGTGTTCATCAATATCCAGATAATTCTTAGCCAAGATCTTAAACGCCTCGAATTTGCAGTAGGACATCTCAATATGCATGTCCATTCTTCCTCTACGAATCAACGCCGGATCGAGGTCTTCGACATGATTTGTTGTGAATATGATGATCCTTTCTTCCCCACATGCTGACCAAATCCCATCAATGAAGTTCAGCAGCCCAGATAGTGTAACTTTACTCTTCTGAGGATCCTCTGTTTCTCTCTGTTTCTTCTTCTTCTTCTCAGCATTATCATCATTCTTCTCTTCTGACCCTTTCTCATTTTTCTTCCTGGTTCCTGTTAGATTCAGCGAGCAGTCTATATCTTCGATGACGATGATCGATTTGGTACTCGTTTCAATCAACAGCTGCTTCAACTCTGCATTTTCCTTAACAGAGGTGAGCTCCAGATCATAAATGTCATAATCCAATAAATTAGCCATTGCTGCAATCATGGTTGATTTTCCAGTTCCAGGAGGACCATAAAGAAGATATCCTCTCTTCCAAGCCTTCCCAACCTTCTTGTAATAATCCTTCCCTTTCTTGAAGGATTCAAGATCTACAAGAATTTCTTCCTTCTTCTGAGGATCCATCCCCAGGGTATCAAAAGTTGCAGGATGATGGTAATTTATGAAACTCCACTTGGGCCTCCAGTAAATATAGCCCTGATCTTTGTTGTTGGTGTAAAGCCTCCTTTTCTTGTTCTGGTACTCAATTGTTTTCCCTTCTTTCATCACATGGTTCAAGTAATCTCCCATGACAAACTCCCGGTACCTCGGATGGGCTTTCAGGATGAATTTCCGCTTCTCAAACGGCTTACCGTCGCCGCCGCCGCCATTGTTCTTGATGGTTTCCTCAGAAGAGACCCACAATACCTTGACATTGTGAAATTCATCCATGACTTCATCACCACCAGCCAGAGTGAATTCCAGGGATTTGCTGTTCCGGGTTTTTTCTGCATTGAGAAGCTGTGCTTTGTTGATGGATTTAGTGCCCAGATAGTTCTTGATGCAAGTGTAGGCTTCACTGGACTGGCCATCAGAACAGAACTCATGGAAGATGATGTAGGTACGAGGAAAGATCGAATTTAAGAGCTTGGAACACCAATTCTTAATCCGATATCGATAGTTCATCGGCAGAAATTGTGAAACAGTACCCCATAAGAACATTACCCCTCCAATTGCTGAGGCTAACTCAGTTACCTTCATTTTTTTCTGGTTTTTTCTTCTCAACAATAAGTCTGTCTCTATCTCTCTCTCAAAAGGAAATACAGAAATGCATCTGAGGCTTTAACCTTTAAGGTCTCTTTATAGTACTGAATACTGATAGGCTACAAAGCCCTACAATGATATCTTTTGTCTTCTTCAGAACGAAACAAAAGACACGAGACTTGGCTGTCAATTATAGTACTTTGAAAATATTTTACTATTTTGGCTGTCATCCAAACAGTGATTTTTAGGTGTAATCATCCATTTTATTGTTTGAGCATAATTCTAATTAATTTGATTAGGATATAAACAATCTCAAACGGGTTACACCTTCAGTGAGATATAAGAAGAAAAAGGTTAATGATTCCTGAGTTCAAATCCGTGCACGGAGTAATAATCTTTGTGGAAATCTGTCCATTGCTCCCATGAAAAGTGTGAATTCCAGTCAAGTAGAGGTTCATTTGAGAGTAATATGTGCCCGCTTGTAACATTTGCTCACTCTTATAATCTGAGTAGTAATCATTCTTGTACTGAATTGGTTTTTCCCCCGAAACTCAACAGTGAAACTGAAATGGATAGACCAATGACCAATTTCTACAATTTGTTGTTAGGTACGTTCAATGACGTATTCCATAATGAAAATTATACATAACATTGTCATTTTTGGGTCAGGGAACTGAGTTCTGCCTTTCCCAAATGTATATAATCATGTGAAGTTTATCAGTGAGATTTTTTTAAAATTTTTTAATTATTTTTTTTTAAATGCGAAGATCTTTTGTCTCTTAGGATGAAAAATGACTGAAGATTTTTTACATTGTGGTAACATGGGAGATACATGCGTCTTTTGTGAACCGAATCAACTCAGTAAAGGGTCTGCATGATTTGGACTGTTTGTTTCTTTTCGTCTTACATAAAGGCCAGTCGCTGTTTGTTGTACTTTTTAGTCAAAAGATTCTGTGTGAAATGTATCTGCATTCTGCAACAGTAGTTTTCATCCAGAAAATTCAGTGAAACTTCATGGTTAAAAAGTTTATAGAGCTAAAGAGTTATGGTAAATGATATTTCTTCAAAGAAGCGGACCACTAGAAGATTAGAATCTCACAGTTATAGCCTAAAAGAACCTGAATTTGTCAAGATGGGAGATTGACATCAGAGCTGGATTTGTAGGGTAGAGATTTCATCAGTTCATAATCTCACATGCCAGAGTGATTTACAAAACCAAAATGATTATCTATTATCAGTCAAAAGTCAGTTTTTCCTCAGTCCCAAAATGATTGTCCTATTTGTGTTTGGCATAGGGCCAACATTAGCAATCAGTGTTAGGGCCACAACAATGTAATAATTCCAGTTGTGATATAACCAAAACAAGCTACCTGTGGTGAAAGTCTAGCATCTCATTTCCCTGTACAAGGCTGTCGAAATTTGCATTCCTTTTCCCCTTTACTTTTCTGGATCTTTAGCTTAACATTTGACAAAAAGAAGACACATTACAAGACGAATTTGTAATTCACTTCCTTTTCCTACCACGACCACGCGAACTGGTTGCTGGGACAGGACGTGATTTGCTGGCCGGGATATCCTTCGAAGTCCCAGCTTCTTCCTCAGACTTGTTTCCATCATCACTTCTTTCATCGTAACTCTCAGTTTTGTCAGTAGATTCTCCCTCCTCTTCTTCAGGTAACTCCCCTGCGGCCTTTTGATTTGACAGGCGATCACGGAGTTCTCTGAGTTTCGACTTCTTTGAATTCAGGACTACAAGAAACTAGAAGCAGCAAGACGGTATGTTACAATATTTGGCGAAACAAAGTTTTTCCGCTTATGATTTAAACATGCTTCATAAATTAGAGAAAAAAAGAGTGAACCAATTACTGTTTAATAGCCACTTGAAGAAAGTAGATCCCAATAATGTACTTAAAGAGGGAACCATCAACTCTTACTCTGTACTTGTGGATACAATGCATTCCGAGAAAAAAATCTAGACATGTATTACGCTATTACTTCACTATTCAAACAGATTTGTAAGAAAAACTCCTTGTACTTTAACGAACAAAGGCTGGTTTGTAAAATAACCGAGACTAGCCAGATTTCTTATCATTTCCATTTACAAGTTGACAGACTTTCAGACAGATGCACTTACAGCATTTTTTGTATTCACTAAATAACTGTTTTGAGTTTCAAAAAGGAGAAAAGGGAATAACAAGACACCAACCTTTGCATAAATCTCATCTTCAAACTCTGCCTTCTCCACACTAAGCTTCTCACTTTGAGCCAAACATTTCTCAGCCTCCACCCTTAGCCTGTCACAGGTCTCAGTTTTCCTGACAACTTCCTCCTAGTGCAACAAGAAAACCAATAAACTAAAGGTAGAATTACAAGCAAACTACACTGCAGCAAATGACTAATCCATCTTCTCTTACACTTAGCCTAATGTTTGCGTCCATGAGAAAATCCATAATATCTGCAGTAGTTTTCTTCATGTTAAGCGCTGGTTGGCACTTCCATCGCCACTCTAATTTGATCCCTTCCTTCTCAAATGTCCACGATAACTACATCCATTTATAAACAAACAAAACCAGCAGAGATGAAGGCATATTCAACTATAAGAATATAATACCAATAGAAATGATTGAGACTTTACCACACAATAGACGGAAAAATATTAATGTATCCCACCCCCGCACCGCACCCAATGAAAGAACTGCAATATTGATATTAGTTTAACTGATTTTTCAAGAACAAAAAAGTCACTTATCAACCACAATCAATCATTAAAAATGCTTTGACTTTCTGAACATTATGAGACTTCCAGATCAGCCAACACTGAAGGGGGCATTGTAAACCAACCATGAGTGAACAGACAAAAAAACTGAAAAAGGGCAACGAATTGCAGCTACCAGTATAGACATCGCTTCATATAAAATCAAATGTAAGCAATCTAGCACAAACGATGGAAATCCCAACATTTGTATGATAAAATCTAAAAACTTTCTCTAACAAAAAACAATTTCCATTCTTTCCCGGAGCCCATAGATCAAGTATGAATATCTAAACCAGGAAAAGTATCACTAACCCTTTTGTGCCCATTTCCAGCATCCGAGAATCCATAGACAGACCCAGGTTGCTGAAACCCCAAATATTTCTCAGCCAAATCAATGTACTCTGTCACTGGCTGATCCCACTGTGAAGCCCGCTCATCAACCTCCTCCTCCGATGCTTCAAATAACACATTCATTCAAAATAAAAACTTCAACAGTCAAATAAAATGAGTAACATTCCAATTATAAAGAAATAGAGAAATACCGTTACAGGTCCAAGCATCACAGCCATCTGTGATGGCAAGGTCGAAGCGAGAGGGGAACCATGTGCCCTTTACAAATAGAGGTTCAGACTCGTGAGTCCCTGAATCATCTTGGGGTAGCTCTAGTTTGAGGCACGTGTGTCTAGGTGTGTCTTCCATTTGAGGTGTCTTGTTGAGGATTTCCCAGAGTGGCTTATGCCTTCTTGTTACAAACCTCTCTGCACAATGACGTAAAAGCAACCCAGTCAAGGAGGAAAATAAGAAATACCTGAAAGAAAAAAACGGAAATCAACCAGAGACAGATCACTCAGGAGGAGGACTAAGGTGGGAGTGAGGGGGATAGGCAGATCTAGGAAAGAATGAGAAACAAGTCTGGAACAGAAATTGTGCATAAATAGACATGTTCATGGCATATAATTACACAATAGAAGATTACAGACATGGTTCAAACAACAAACAGAAATTTAAAGTTGAGATAAACGAAGGCTAAAAGAACATTTAGGTGTCAAGGTGGTAGCAGTTTCTAAACTCATACAACAAAAGCCAAGAACACTCATAAAACAGCAGGCAACATAAGATTTCTGGAACATATGAATCCAAGCATCAGTGATTTAAAAGAGATGGTTAACAAACACCAAATACAATAGCAGTAACCTGTAAGGCAGCAATGAAACCCAATCATAAACTAACCATAACCTCCCTCTTTTGCTGGAAGCTTGAGTGGTAGGCTTACATATTACAAAAATTCTAGTGTTGGCTTCATTTTTTGCAACAGAAGAAATGCAAATTCTTGGATTAATTTCATAATGTTTTTTCAGTTATGGTCTGATTAAAATTCTTTGAAAGATGAAAAATAACTCTGCAGCTATTATGATGAACAATTGAACACGAGATCATCATGTAAAAAAGTTCAAGAAACTCGGGTAGCAATCTTGTAAATAGTATTACGACCCACAGGCTCTGATAACTCGAGTTTACAGCTCTGCTAGTTCTGCGCAGAGAACAGAATTCATGATTTCTCCTTTTTGGATTGAACAAACAGGAAGGACTTAACTTTCAGACCCAAAAGATTCCTCTGGGAACAGAATCACCCCCAATATGCAGAAAGTAAAATTCTCCCAAAAACAAAATCGGAAAGGAAAACAACACTGAGAGCTCATAAATTACTACAGTTAATCATAACAGCCAATATACACATAGGAAAAACATTGATTACAAATTAATTATAATGAACAGATTTGTAAAGAAAAACTAAGTTGGGACAGCAAACAGGCAGGTCTGAGCAGATATTGAATGCAATTAAACTATGAAAACTTTCAGTAAGGAGGTTACAGGCAAGTTTCTGCGAAAATTCTCTGCAGTTACAACAGCCAGTGTCCTGTGAGCATCATAAGGGCAGTTGTCTCTTTCTATATGCAAGAGTAATCATTTAAAGAAAGACAAAAAAAGAATAAAAGGAAAATGAAAAAAAAAGGCACAAATAACAGAATGAATCAATATAGTAAGTTCAATTTTGCAAAAAATAATTGAGATGGTTTATAGCACAAGTTTTCATTTCCTTTCAAGCATTAGCTGCTCCCAACATAAAAAAATTCACCAAATCCAGGCTGCATAGTACGGTCTCAACATTCTAAATTAAGAATTGACAAAAAAAAAAAAAAACATCTGCACGATGAATCAAAGCCCCTGCACATATGATGCAACTTTCGTTCTCATAACAATAATTTTGAACCAGACAAAAAAACTTGAAAATCAGCATAAACAAAATTAATTGAGCAAAACTCCTACATTTTTCAGCAAACAAACGGACAGTTTACCAGGCTAATCACATTTAAAAGACGCTTAATTCAACGAATACTCGCAGGGAATCAGCCAACGAGGAGAATACCTTCGTTGGATGGTGGAACGAGGACTAGAAGTGCAGTGGACTCTGTGCTGGTGGTGTGTATTCCAGGTGAAACTTACTGATCGTCAACAAAACCGACGGCCTATCGACGGAAAATGCTTGCATTGCCGGAACCCTAGCTAAACCTTCATCGTGATTTTTCCATCGTCTTCTTTGTTGTCCAAGAGCGAATGCGAAAATTCATAAAGCTTCTGGCGGAAGCTTAAAAAGGTGTCTTTCGTTTAATTTTCCCCCTTTTCGTTGAATGGAAAAAAAAAAAAAAAAAATTACACATATCATCCCTGAAGTCGTTCATTGCTAGTAGTAATATGGTAGTAGTCTTTTTTAAAAACCCCCTTGAAAGATTAACAAGAACATACTATCGTCACTATCTTTCATTATATTGTAAATAATTATCGTTTTAATTGTCATTGATGAGCGGAATGATTGTAAAAATTTTTATTTTACCGAATTTATAGTGACTTTTGATTTAAAGGCTATTTGTTTGTCATATTATTCGGTAGAATGATGATCGAATTTTTTTTTTAAACAAAAAAAAAAAAAAACAAAATGAACATTTGGAGCTCAATTAAGAGCAAGTTGGCCACCAAAAAAGATAAAATCGCTTAATGAGAATGATCAATTGATGATAGAGCTTATAGTTTTTACAATCTCTTATAATAATTTACGTTTCAAAATGCACGAAAATTATTGCTTTATGTCGCACATGCCAATTTAAATCTTAGAAGAAGATACATTTTACATTCCACTATGTGCATCATGCTATGAATCGTGTGTCGTTTGAAGAATTTAATCATGTAGAGTCGTGCACAAATTTAATATATAACCTTGAGGACTACATTTTGAAACCGGGATAATTTAGGACTCTAAACAAAATAAGGTTAAACTTTGAGGACAAAAATATGCCATATTCGCTCTTGAAAAGTTGGTAAACCTCAATTTAATTTTGCCGCTCCTCTTCTTTCCCCATTCCTTTCTCCACAGTTCCCTCCTGCTAGTAGTATATATAGCAAAGCGAAAGCTCCAATTCCAACGTTATCTTCTTAATCAGTCCCAGAAAATTGAAGGAACGATGATGCCTTCTTCAGTTCCAACTTCGTAGGTTTCAGGTAACTTCACTTTCATTTTTTTTGAGGAAACTGACTGTGGTCGGGATATTCTCTCAGTGAATTCTAGTTGATGTTCCATGCTTATATTTCTTCGTTTGATCAGAAACAGTTTGATTGTTCTGATTGATTTGTAATTTGAGATTTCTTTGCGCGGTTTGTGGTTTTTTTTTTCGGTTAATTTGTGCATGTTTCTTCGTATAGAGACGAAATTTCTGGAATTGCTAAAGAAGATATTTAACTACTGCTTATCTAGCTGTAAGAAACGCAAGTGATTTTCGTATCTGATTTCATGGTTTAACGGTTTCGAAGTTGATTTAACAGTGAATTTTCAAAGATTTAATGCTTTTAGGAAGAATTATTTACATTTTCAATTTGATATCTTAAACTGCGGCAGATGGACAGTATAATAGATTTAATTGTTGATGTTGTTCTTTTGCCTTTGATAACTAGGAGAATAAGTGGGCAGATATACGCATGATGGAGTACTATGAAGTATTGGAAGCCATTAGTACAGGTTCCTTTGGTTCGGCATTTTTGGTAAGGCATAAACATGATTGGAAAAGGTGAGAGAGCCAAAGTATTGTACTTACAACAGTATTAGCTCATGCGTTGAATCAAGTTGTGTAATTCTTCTTATCTTATTGTAATGTTTCTAGGGTTCTCATTGCATTAAGTATCATTCTTCTTATTGCTGGGTACATGTTGAAGAAAATCTACATTTCTCGGCAAACTGACAAAACACTGAGATTTGTGCAACAGGAGGTATTTTATTCGCGTTGTCACCTTTTTTTGGAAGCCTAAGCTATTCTTAATACCAAAAATCGTGATATGGTTAATTGAATTAGCTTGTGTGGCGCCTTGATCTTATTGATATCCTTAGTTCACCGCGTCATCATTTTTGGTATGTGTGATTGATTGATCTATTAATCTATATGTAATTAATACAATGTTTTCACATTACTTTGTGTTCAGATGGCAGTGCTTTCCAGATTAAAAAATCCATACATTGATTTATGAAGACCTACTGATTCCCATCTTTTTGTCACGTGTTTTTGTTCATTGCAATTTCAGTTAAGGTCTGTTCTGCAGTTAAGCTCGTAATAGACTATTAAGGAGTAAAATCCTAATAGTGGAATCAATTTGAAAGGTAGAAATTCATTTAGGCATCTGGATGTCAATTTGTTCAAAGCAAGAGCTTTCCACGAGATTGATTTCTTCGTCACGAATGCTAAACTCTATCTCTGATAAAGCTCTGATCCATCTCAGGATCTACATTTGTTGAACATGGGCATGCTCTCCCCAATTGATGAAAAATATTTGAACTTGTATAACTTGTTTCCTTAAAAATAATAGAACATTGCCAAATGTAATTGCAAATCATGTTTTCAATCTCCAGCCTTAAACAGTTCATTCTTGCCAGGGATGTCAGTATCTTTGTTTGTTGGTTTGTGAATCCTGAATCCAAGTGGTTTATTTTCCATTTTCAAATTGTTTAAATGCTTTAGTGTATGTTTGTGGTATGGTGAAGGTTGTGAATACTCCTTTATGGAGTTTGCATATTTAATTTGTCATATTGATCAAATTGATCTTTGTACGTGATTACTGCCTTTACAGGGTAGTTATGTATGCAAGAGACTGCTTACTATGAAGGAGAAGACATGTAGGTGGATTTCTCTTGTGCAATATCGCTTTTAAATGCATTGAAAAGTCGATGTGACCGTACAAGTAACTACTTATGTTACTTTTCTCTTCTGGCTCCTCATGAGATCAGGGCGGATGCAATCAGAAGAGCGAATGGCATTTATTTTCCAGAAGAGGTTATATCTGTCATTTGTCATCTCTGCAACATTCATAGTTTCTGTTACCTTATACTAGAGTTTCAAATGTACCTAATCCTCTTCAGCTGGTATGATCTCACATGAAGTGTTGCCCTGTGATCAGAAGCTTTGCAAATGGCTTGTCCAGTTGCTGATGGCACTTGAGTATCTACACAAGAATCATATTCTTCATTGTGATGTCAAGGTAAGCTCTCCATGATCACAAACATTTTGTCTCTTCAAGTCAATTTACTCTTCATACTGACATTCAATTTATTGTGTCAGTGCTCCAACATGTTTTTGACCGAAGATCAAGACATTCGTCTAGGTATATGAAAGAGTGCTGATTCTACATTTTTTTTTTATTACTTTTAGGACCTTATTACTCATGAGAGATATACCAAATACTTTGGAGGTCTAATACATCCTTTTTGAAATGTCATTTACAAGTGATTTTGATCTCCTTAAAGTATTAACTTTGTTAGAAATCAGAGACTTTGCTATGAGAAAAGAATAAGAGATTTTATCATGAAAAAGAATAAAAGATTTCTGTCGAAAAGGAGAACTGAGATTTCTGCGAAAAAGAGCTGTCATTACATTCTCTGAAAGAGACTATTTATACAGGAAAAATATAACTGCCAACCTAAAGTACAATAGAATCAAATGAAATCAAATCTTAACAAATACTGTAATCTTATCCTGATCTAATCGAAACAAATCCTAACCAAATCACTCTCAAATCTCTAACAAACTTCTGATGATCTTGCTTCCTTGGTGAGTGACTGTAGATAGTTTTTTCTTTTATAAGCCTATCTACATAGAGTTATAAATTGTAACATGACACTTTATGTCAGGAAGTTGGCAATCCAAAACACATGTGCCCTGAGCTTCTTGCGGGTATACCTTATGGTTCCAAGTCAGACATCTGGTCTTTGGGTCAGCCTTTTGAAACTGTTTTGCTTCTGCCATCTGATTTTTGCATTTCTCTGCTGTTGTTCACACATTTATGGGGGTTGTTCAGGGTGCTGCATCTGCGAAATGGCCGCATTCAAGCCTGCATTCCAAGCATTAGTAAGTCGTGGATTCCGACAAATTTTGAAAGCTTCATTACTTGTAGTTATGGAAATTTGTTTTAGATAAAATGCCAAGATTTTTATGTTCTAGCAGCAACATAGAGAAATCTTGCATGCACTCAGCACTCTTTTTGTCCAGTAGTTCATGGGAAAACTCTGGTGTTGAAAGACGGAACATAGTCCTCTTGTCATCTGATTTTCATGATTGCATGAATTGACGTCAGCTTTGTCCAACCATAAACAAAATTATTAAAAGGGCAATTGATCAATGAAAACTATTTCCTTTAAATCTAAGTCCGCTAAGGTCCAGTCATGAATCTGAAGGATTTTTTGCGTCCAATTTATATTCTTAGGATCTGTTCTGATAGTGCTATTGGTTCCCAAATCGCTCACTTAGATGACATTGTATCTGAAAGGCATTTGTGAAGTGCATGATCGTAGTTTTATTGGTTGTAGTCTCAATGTCTTAAATATCCTTAAATATCCTTTCAGGACATGCAAGGTCTAATCTATGTGATAAACAAATCCATTGCTGCACCGCTTCCGACCATATATTCTGCTGCATTGTAAGTGAATTTGTAGTCACTAAGGTTGATCATTTGGTGAAAGAACTACGGTTTTGTGTTCGGATCCACACTTAATTTGCTGGATCCCTTCCATATTGTAGTCGAGTACTTGTAAAGATTATGCTACGGACAAATCCAGAATTCAGACCTAGTGTGAGCATATTCAACAACTCTTCTTTCTTGTACTCCTCCGTCCCATTTTAATAATACTATAGTCCACTTTGTTGCTCTATTTTTGTTCACTGAACAGGATTTTTAAACCGGGGGACAAAGGAAGTAGATAATTTGCACTGGACATGCTAATATCAGATAGGTGTCATGTCATCTAAAGTGCCTCGTTCTACTTTTTCAGGCTGCAGATTTGCTCAGACACCCGTACCTTCAGCCATATCTGCAACAAATCCATATGAAATCTGATGGAGATATCCAGCAAAAATCCCCAGTTAAACAGCCTAATACCAAGCTCGGCAAGAGAACTAAGCGCCCGTTTCGCTGGTTGTTTTGTTGCGTGATTTGCATATCTGTGTGTCTATGGTGTTCAAATGTGTTTTTGGAAGTGGTTTGACTTTTGTCATCGAACCTTATTCTTCACAAACATTTTGCCAAATTTTGTTCACAAGATATTCTCCCGCCTGTCTGTACATAGATAGTAACAGTTATGGCTTCTTTGTGTTACGAAGTTGAGAACTTCATATTAAGATAGCCTTGGGCTGTTATGATTCATTCATAACTACTAACAATCAATCAATCTATCCCAACGGCGGGAGACCACCAATCCGAGAAGTTTTGCTCTTTCCGTAACTGGAAGTATTGGGCTGTTAGTTGCCGTACTCTGTTTACTGGTCGGCGCAGCTCTGGTGGTTCGTATTTTACAGCACCATTATCACCAGATGGTCGACAGCAACCAAGCAGAGACCCCGCTGGACAATATATTTGTCGCGCTTTTGGGATTTGATCTCGTAATGGTTCTCTCAATCGCGATATGGTTCGTGTCGCTCCCAGGATACTCCATCCAGATTCTTATTAGAGGATGCCATTGCCATTGCCATTGACATCAGAAGTTCTGGTGGCTAGTTTCTCTTTTTTTTTGTTCAGTAGTTTATTCATAGAAAAACTCTGTTGTCAAAAATTCAGAACTTTGTCTTCTGCTCGCATCTGATATCACACGCTCGCATCAGTACACTGAAACAAGCAAGTTATCAGTAATCGAAAAAATAAAATTTGGACGATTTTTGCAGACGCATTTCTTTTATGAGTGGTACTACTTTGTTCTGTTTCTAAACCAAAATTGGTTACGGGAATCGAATTTTCTTCATCAAAAGAGTTCAAGCTGAAATCGCCTGATACACACACTGATTCAAATCTTAGTTTGTACGAGTACTATTGAACGGGCAAAAACCAAAACTAAAACGAATCAAGTATTAACGGATGGCAATATGGCATACTTACATTAAAATTTCCCGACTTATTATTCACAGTGACTTAAATAACAACTAGAAATATGAAATTTACACAAAACCTACACCAAATTAACTTACAATCAGGCCCTTCAAACCAACAAAGATTCAGCTCCACATTCCTGTACATAGCAAACCAGAGATTTGAAACATACCTATTACTATCAATATATATATATATATATATATATATATATATAATATCTCCAAAGTGACTAAGATTGATTATCACCATCTTCTTCTACGCAATTACTCCTCCAAGATGTTTGGAAACAGAGCATTTCCGTCCTGAACTTCTTCCTTTAGTACTACTTCATGTTTTTTCTTGTTTTCGTTCTTGATAGCTTCAATTAAGCCCATTAAACAGGTTTCCTTGTGGTCGCTCGATTCCCCTTTCGGTATCAAATTCTCAGCCACGTCACAAGGACAAACATCGTATTCCTCCAACAACTGTCTGATTTCTCCAAACAAAGGATGCGAGTCCATGTCCAAATAATTCTTAGCCAATACTTTGAATGCCTCGAAATCGCAGTACGACATCTCGATCCTCAGGTCCATCCGTCCTCGCCGAATCAATGCCGGATCGAGTTTTTTGACGTGATTCGTTGTGAATACGATGATCCTTTCTTCTCCACAAGCGGACCATATCCCATCAATGAAATTCAGGACGCCAGACAGAGTAACTCTGCTCTTCTTCTCCTGATCCTCTCTCTTGTTCTGCTTCATCATTTCATCTTTCGTTTCGTCCTTGCCGTTCTTCTTAATCTTCCGAGCCCCGGTGAGATCAAGCGAGCAATCGATGTCTTTGATCACCATGATGGATTTGCTACTTGTTTCAATCAACAGCTGCTTCAACTCTGCATTCTCCATAACAGAGGTAAGTTTGATGAATATATGTAAATATGTAAATATTATGATATGAATCTTGAGGCAAAGGTGGCAGATTTACCTCGACGCGGAAGTTATGAATTTCCCAGGACTTGAAAACTTGCAAATCCAATATTATGGACTCCACAACTCATGAAAATTAAAAGTAAAGAAGAGATGCAAACCACAAAAATTTGCACCAAAAAGGGATGGAAAGGTTTAGAAATGTAGAAAGTGTTTAAGGTTACCAACCCAATCGGTCACCTCTCTAACAACCATATCCCTTCAATTTATAGATAGAACGGCTAGCGAAAAGGCTCCAATGAACAACTAACAAAGCTCCACAAGTAGAAAAACACATATTCTACTCGCACGCATCAATAAAGCACAAGCATGTGTGCAATGCACTAATCTTCGAAAAGAGTAGCAAAAGAACAAAGAGTTTCCTCTCGTTTCATATTGAAATAATTCATCAAAGGTAGTAATAAAAAGCTGGCCAAACACCCCTATTTATAGTAGAGGGGGCCGAAAATTCTCCTATGAAGTAGGAGAAGAGTTTGATCTTTAACTCTATTCCTACTTTAAAGAACTAGAAATCAACTTAACCTCTAATTGACAACTTGTGTCTTATCTATTAAGGTAATGTATCTAGACACCTTTATAGACTTAAGACACACTAGTCTAATGAAAATAAAACTCCAAATACAAAGAGATATTCTCTCAAAAGAATCTTATCCTTATCTTGAAAAGAATCTTCCTGAGTTGTCAACTCTATCAATATCTTCTTTGTAGAGTAATCATAGCCATCCAATCTTGATCTAATCTCCATCCAATGATTGAGAGTAGACACCAAGGAATAGACTTCTTATTTTGAATAAACTCTAAATTAGATAAAAGAGAATCATATCAAATCTTATCCTTCCATGTGATAAGATTTAAGGATAAGATTTAAATGATCTTATCTCTAAAAGATAGGGAATCTTCTAAATCTTACCCTTCCACAAGTGTGATAAGATTTAAATAATTTTATCCCTAAAAGATAGAGATTCTAACTCCTAAAAGTTAGGAGATAGGACCGGCCTCCCTTGCTTGGTTTGTGGGCCGAAATTTCCATCCTCAAATGGGTCTTGTAACACATTAATAATCTTGGGCTTGTAACTTCCAGACTTGACATTCTCTTGGGCTAAACTATTTGATATAAGATTATTAAGTGCACTCCTCATCCTTTTACTTCTAGCTTGAGTCATTGGGCCTCCAATGTTGGATAATGGATCTTGAGCCACTCCTTGAGCTTGAACAGTACTTGGAACCCGAACACTTTGATCATCTTGGACTTGATTACCATGGATGTTCACATCGTATTACATAGATTGTAAATAAGGAGTTGAGTGGAAATAGTTGTACTGATTTCTATACATGTATATAGCTACAGGACTTAGTTGTAATTACATAGATTAGACTAGTCAACTAACTTAAAGTATACACTTCCTCTGTCCCAAAATTATTGTCCAGTTTGAGATTTCATTTTTAGTACAATTTGAACTAAAAATGAAAACTCAAACTGGACAATAATTATGAGACGGAGGGAGTAAGTCATTTTGTACATATTTGGAGTAGCAAGTTTTTCAGTACAAGACAATCGGAAAGTCATTTCTTCCAGAAATGGTAGTTATAAGAACCCTAGATCTTGATTTCCAGTCTTCTTGATGGTATCAGAGCAGGTTCGTCCTGTCTGATAATCGTCGGATTCTGTCACCACTGTTAATTCCGATTAAGATTCCGCTGTCAATTCTATTTTTCACATCACAACTCCTATCTTCTCTCGATTGTTCGATTTCTTGATTTCTTGAAGAAACCATGGCCGATCGGAACAACGAAGGTGATACAGGTGAACAGAGAGAACGTCGTACCTTCGAAGATGACGGTCGTTTCCAAAGGAATCCAGATGATGACCGTGAGTAGAGGGAGACTCGCCGTCAGTTCAGAGAAGAAGACCTCGCGAATTTAGGTATATATGCTCATCCTCTGTCATTACATCCATCAGATCATTCTGGAATGTCAATTGTTGGAATGAAGCTTTCTGAATCGAATTATATCTCTTGGACTCATGCTATGCGTATGAATTTGGGAACTAAGAAAAAACTAGGGTTTATAAAGTGTGAATATCCACAACCTCATGCATCTAGTCCAGATTATGCTCAATGGATTATGGTAAATAACACAATCGTAGACTGGATATTGAATTTACTATCAGAAGAATTGCATGGTGGGTACATATTAGCTGCAAATGCAAGGGACTTATGGTTGGATTTACAACAGAGATTTGGGGGTATTAATGCTTCTAGGATATATCATTTTAAGAGAGATATCAGTTCCATTACTCAGAGAAAAATGTCATTATCCAGCTATTTCACAAGGCTCAAAAGGTTATGGGATGAATTGTCCCTTCTTGATCCTCCAGATATATGCACTTGCAGTGGTTGTTCTTGTAGATTGGATCGTAGCTATGCTGCAAAGGTGGAAAGGGACAAGATGATGCAATTTCTGATGGGGTTAAGTGAAATATATGAAGCAGCTAAGAATCAGATTTTGACTATGAGACATCTTCCGTATGTGAGAGCCGCATACGGTATAGTAGCAGACATTGAAAAACAGAGGAGTGTACAGCTGATTTACACAAGCTCTCATGATCACAGTGCAATGATGACTCAAGGTTCCATGATCACTGTTTCTCTGGGAACACATGCGCAACAGGGGACTGTAAGTACTCAAAACAGTGCTATGTTTGTGCAAAAAGGCAAACCTCGTAAGGAGGAGAAGAATGGACTTTGGTGTGATCTGTGTAAGAAATCAAATCATAATCAAGAGAATTGTTTTCGCATTCATGGTTACCCCGACTGGTGGAGGGTTCCTGGTAGTAACAAGGGTCCAAAGAAGTTTGGTGGCACGAAGAATATGACACACATGGAAAATAATCCTATAGAAATTATCTCTCTGAATAACAGCAACAATGTTGGATATAATGGCTCAGGGTCTGTGATAGTTCCAAGCACTGCAAGCATGGGTTATAATGGATATGGTGGTTCAAGTGCCAAGATGATTCCTCCACAACATCAGGGCATAGAAAACTTACAAGCCATAGTGTCAAGTCTCAATTGCCTACAGCAGGAAATGAGTAGGATTGCAAAGGGAAAGGGAGTTCAGACTGATAGCAGTGGACAACTTGTCAACTTTGCTCACTACACAGATTTCGCAGGTATGAACTATGATCTCATTCTTGGTACGGTTGATATGATCAAACCTGGTAGTTGGTTTATGGACTCTGGTGCAACTGGCCTTATGACTAATGATTTAGAACTTTTAAATTCTTATAATCCTGTATCTCATCCTACCCCGGTATATCTATCTTATGGAATACGTAAAACACATAGGAGATGTAACCCTTTCAAATACCTTAAGACTCTCTGATTGCCTTCATATACCTGATTTTAAGTTCAATCTTATTTCGGTTAGTAAGCTAGCCAAAACAGCCAGGATTGATACCCTTTTTTCCACTGATTGTTGCATACTGCAGGACCAGGGGAATAAAGGAATTGTGGCTGTTGGCAAGCTTATTAATAGACTTTATGTGGTAGATCATGAAGCGTATATCATGATTTTTGTTCAATTTCATGTAAATCCTCGTTTCTTATCTTTTTTTACCAATAAAGATACACCTCATATTGCCTGTAATACGATAGAAAGTAAGGATAACATATGGTATTATAGGTTAAGACATCCGTCGGCAAATGTAATCAGACATATACCTTCTCTATCTCTTGAAATAAAAGATGATCTTGTTTGTGACGTATGTCCTTTATCTAAACAACACTGTTTACCCTTCCCAGTAAGCCAAACTAGAAGCTCTCAGATTTTCGACCTTATACACATAGACATATAAGGGCCTTTCAAACAAACTTCTTTAATAGGTTGTAATTACTTCCCTACTATCGCAGATGACCATAGCCGAACTACATGGACTTTCATGATGTCCAGTAAAACACAAACCATACCCATTCTTGACAATTTTTGCAGGATGGTTCAAACCCAACATCAGAAGTCAGTAAAGGTTGTTAGGTCTGACAATGGCTCTGAATTCATGAGCCATGCTTGCCAAGCTTTATTTTCTTCCCTAGGAATAATCCATCATAAGACTTGTGTCTATACCCCACAACAAAACGGTGTTGTCGAAAGAAAACACCAACACCTAATTCAAATGGCAAGATCTTTGCTGCTCCACTCTCATCTTCCTAAGTGTTTTTGGGGGGAAGCTGTACTCACAACCACATATATAATAAATAGATTGCCGACACCTGTCTTGGATTGGAAAACACCTTTTGAGTTGCTCACTCACAAAATACCTGATTTTACCCACTTAAAAACCTTTGGTTGTTTGTGCTTTGCCACAAACAATCTTCTGGGACGGGATAAATTTGATGAGAGAGCCATTAGATCCATCTTCCTAGGTTATCCCCCGGGACAAAAGGCATACAAACTATATGATCTAAAAAAAACTAAGAGAATCTTTGTTTCAAAAGATGTCATCTTTCGCGAAAATATTTTTCCTTATCAATCATCTGTTTCTAATACTCAGATATCTTTGCCACCATCCACTTCCACATTTGGTTTTCTTTATCATGATTCGCCTCATACAAATTACTCTTCTCCCACTGAGTCTCTATTCCAGCTTGATATGTTTGATCATGATCCCACTGATCACTCAAACGAATCTCAGGATTCCACAGCTCACCCAACTCAGGATGAACTATCTCATTTGAATTCCCCGTCCCATAATCCTTCTACGTCAACTGTTTTTTATCCTGTTTCCTCCTCTTCTTTACCTATTCTACATTGTAGCTCTAGAATCAAACATCTTCCAGTCAGATTACAAGATTATCATGTTGATCTACCACATGCAGCCCATACTACTATCCGATACTCACCTGCCATTCCAACCTCTTCCTCCTATACTCCGAATACTTTTCCCTATACTTCTAATCCTTGCTTTCGACCAGCCTACTTAGCTTTCTTAGCCAATATTAGTCAAGCACTAGATCCTGTAAACTATATGCAGGCTCGATCTCAACCAGAATGGGTGGATGCCATGAATGCAGAACTTGCAGCTTTGGAGGCCAACCATACCTGGGAGTTAACCTGTTTACCACCCGGCAAACGAGCCATAGGATGTAAGTGGGTCTATAAGACCAAATATAAGCCTGATGGAACTGTTGAAGGCTACAAAGCTAGGCTGGTGGCGAAAGGTTTTAACCAAATCGAAGGTGTTGATTATATTGATAGTTTTTTGCCTGTCGCGAAAATGGTCACTGTTCGAGTGTTCCTTGCTGTTGCTTCTGCTAGAAATTGGTATATTCATCAGATCGATATCAACAATGTGTTCTTGCATGGATATCTTTCTGAGGATGTTTATATGAAAAGGCCTGAAGGTTACACCAAAGGTCAGCCATCCCAAGTTTGCAAGCTAATTCGCTCTTTGAGAGGCTTGAAATAGGCCTCTTGCCAGTGGCACATTGAATTTGCTGCTCGACTTAAAAGTTTTGGATTGCTTCAATCATATAGTGATCCCTGCCTTTTCACTATGAAGTATCAAGATAATTTTCTAGCTTTGTTAGTATATGTAGATGATGTGCTCATTACCAGCTCCTCCGAAGATGCCATCCTTGCGGTTAAGACTTTTCTGCATTAGGTTTTCACCATCAAGGATCTTGGCCCTGCTAGATACTTTCTTAGAATTGAGATCGCACGCAGTTTTGCTGGACTCTACCTTAACCAGAGAAAGTATGTGCTTGATATCCTCAAGCGCGTGGGCTTGCTTGGCTATAACCCTAATGCTACACCTATTCCTAAGGGTCATTTTTTCCCTGAAGACAAGGATTGTGGTGCGTTGCTCTTGGATCTAGCTGCTTATCGAACTGTCATTGGTCAGCTTCTCTACCTGGGTTTCACACGCCCTGATCTTGCATATGATGTCCAACAGCTTACTCAGCACACTCAGGCACCCAGAGAGGCTCACTGGGATGCTATGATACATGTGTTGCGTTATTTAAAGGGCTGTCCTTCCAATGGTCTTCAATACTCATCTACTTCTTCTCTGGATTTGCTGGCTTATTGTGATACTGATTGGGCAAGCTGCAAGATTACTCGACGCTTCTGTCAGGTTTCTGCATCTTCCTTGGTTCCAGTCTGATTTCCTGGAAAACAAAGAAGCAGGACACCGTATCAGCTTCATCCGCTGAGGCAGAATATTGTAGTTTAGGCACCACAGTTCGAGAGCGACGCTGGATTTCTTTCATCCTGCGTGATCTTCAGGTATCTCCAATTTTTCCTGTTCCTCTACACTGTGATAATCAAGCAGCACAATATATTACCGAAAATCCTGTGTTTCACGAGCCCACAAAGCATTTGGAAATTGATTGTCACATCGTTAGAGACTATTATAAGAATGGCTTCCTCCAACTTCATCACATCAGTACTAATGACCAGCTTGCTGATTGTTTCACCAAGTCCCTTGCTGCTCCTCAGTTTACTAATTTCATTGCCAAGTTGGGCTTGATAGATCTTCATCAAGCACCACCTTGAGGTGGGGATGATGAATATATGTAAATATGTAAATATTACATAGATTGTAAATAAGGAGTTGAGTGTAAATACTTGTACTGATTTCTATACATGTACACAGCTACAGGACTTAGTTGTAATTACATAGATTAGACTAGTCAACTAATTTAAAGTATATAAGTCATTTTGTACATATTTGGAGTAGCAAGTTTTTCAGTACAAGACAATCGGAAATTCATTTCTTCCAAAAATGGTAGTTACAAGAACCCTAGATCCTGATTTCTAGTCTTCTTGACAACGTCATAAATATCATAATCAAGAAAATTGGTCATGGCTGCAATCATGGTTGATTTCCCTGTTCCTGGAGGGCCATGAAGAAGGTAACCCCTCTTCCAGGGCTTCCCAATGTTCTTGTAGTAATCCTTCCCATTCTTAAACGAAAGCAGATCATCAAGTACCTCTTTATTCTTCAGGGGATCCATTGACAGGGTATCAAACGTCGCGGGATGCTAGAAATTGATGTAATTCCATCTCCCTCTCCAATAACTATCTTTGTCTTTGTTGTTTGTGTAAAGCCTTCTCTTCCTGTTCTTGAACTCAATTGCATTTCCTGTTTCCATGACGTGGTTCAGGTAATCACCAACGACGAGCTGGCGGTGTTTTCGATGGACTTCCAGCACGAAACACCGCTTCCTCTAACGGCCTACCGGTCCTGAAGCTGCTGCTTTCCTTGATGGTTTCCTGGTGAGCCTCCCACTTGATCCTGACGCCCTGGAATTCATCTAGGATCTTGTTCTACTTTCCAGGGCCAAACTCGACCGATTTGCTGCTCCGGGATTTCTCTGCCCTGAGCGATTCGGCTTTGTTAACGCATTCGGCACCGAGGTAGTTCTTGATGCAGTTGTAAGTCTCGTTGCTCCTGCCATCTTGAAGGAATTCGTCGACGGTGACCCGGAAACGGGGAAAGATGCAAGCTACAAGCTTGTTACACCATTTCAGGAGGACGTATTCTGCATTTCTTGGCAAAAATTGCCTCATTGAGCCCCATAGTAATAGTAATCCCCCAACTCTAGTGGCTACCTCTTTCAACGGCAATCCTATCATCGTCATCTTGATAAAGAAAATAAAAGAAAGATGTTTTTTTTTTCTTTGTTTCCGGTGAACAAACAAATTTTCTTAGTATTTCAAAATGAATTTTGAGTTCTATTTATAATTTACTAGTATTATTCTCGCACGTTGTGCGATGATATAATTTATTATATATTAGTTTAATAATCAAAATGTACTATTTTGGTTTGGCTAATAATTAAATCTAGTATCTGATTTATTTCACTTTATATCCCGGTTTGACTATGAAATTGTTTTTATCATGTGTATATGTATATAAGTATAAGTTTTTTGTTCTTTAAACAGAGATTTGACGGCTAATTTTGATTTAATTTCCTATTTTAGAGTAATTTGTCCCACACTTATTTTTTATTTTTCAAGAATAAAATGTAAATGGTAACGTACAATTAAATTGAGTCCCACACTGATTTAATTTCCAGCACGAAACACCGCTTCCTCTAATGGCCTACCAGTCCTGAAGCTGCTGCTTTCCTTGGTGGTTTCCTGGTGAGCCTCCCACTTGATCCTGACGCCCTGGAATTCATCTAGGATCTTGTTCTACTTGCCGGGGCCAAACTCGACCGATTTGCTACTCCGGGATTTCTCTGCCCTAAGGGATTTGGCTTTGTTAACACATTCGGCACCGAGGTAGTTATTGATGCAGTTGTAAGTCTCGTTGCTCCTGCCATCTTGAAGGAATTCGTCGACGGTGACCCGGAAACGGGGAAAGATGCAAGCTACAAGCTTGTTACACCATTTCAGGAGGACGTATTCTGCATTTCTCGGCAAAAATTGCCTCATTGAGCCCCATAGTAATAGTAATCCCCCAACTCCAGTGGCTACCTCTTTCAACGGCAATCCTATCACCGTCATCTTGATAAAGAAAATAAAAGAAAGATGTTTGTTTTTTTTTTGTTTTCTTTGTTTTCGGTGAACAAACAAATTTTCTTAGTATTTCAAAATGAATTTTGAGTTCTATTTATAATTTACTAGTATTATTCCCGCACGTTGTGCGATGACATAATTTATTATATATTAGTTTAATAATCAAAATGTACTATATACGTATATAAGTATAAGTTTTTTGTTCTTTAAACAGAGATTTGACGGCTAATTTTGATTTAATTTTCTATTTTAGAGTAATTTGTCCCACACTTATTTTTTGTTTTTCAAGAATAACATGAAAATGGTAACGTACAATTAAATTGAGTATTACAAAAACTGTTAATCATGCATGAAAGAAAATAATACACGCATTTTTGTATAATTTCTTGTAAAGATAAAAATAAGGACAAAACACACTTTTGGTTCCTAAATTTTGGGGGGTCACAACTTTGAGCCACCATTAATTTTAGATTGACGAAATTGGTCATTGTCTTTTCATTTATACATCAACGTTGGTCCATTTAATAGAATTTTTGAAAAATTAATGATGGCTTCCTTAATTTGTTAACTCCTTATTTTTTTTATTACTTTCCTTTGACATGGCCCTACCGACATTTGACCACAAAATTTTTTTTTCCTATTTTTAATTTTCAGAAATTAAGGGTTTCAATGTGAAATTATGCATTGACTTCGAGTTAGTCATGAGAAGGTAAAACGGAGAGCTCAGTAATCAGACAAAAACTAAGGCTCCGTTTGATAATCACTGAAATCTGAATCTGAAAACTTAACACTTAACACTGAAGTCTGAAGTCTGATGACTGAATTTACATTGTTTGATATAAACATCTGAATTTGATGCCTGAAGATTGAAGTCTGAAGTCTGAAGATTGAATCTGAATACTCAAGTCTGAATGATATTTAAATTTTTAGTATCATTAAAATTGAAGTATAAACAAAATTCTTTTAAATAGAAAAATAACTAATATTTTATTCTAAATAATAAAATAATAATTTTAAAATAAATTTTTGGTGTATATAATGAAAGTAGATATTACACTTGCTAAATAACAAGATATATATATATATATATATATCTTGTTATTTCGAAAATTTTATGTATTAAAATTAGTTTAATTTCAGTTTGAAAGTTTGAGATTTTTTTTGCTCATAATATAAATTCAAATTTAAGCAATCTTAATAAATTTATCTTAAGAAAATAAAAATTTTAAAACAATGTAAAAATAAGCGTTGAAATAAAGACGAGTGGAAAAAGGAAAAAAAAATCAATCAATACAGAAATTAAGTATTAAGTGATAAGTGATAAGTGTAGTCCTATCACTTATTTTTTGGCTCACAATTGAACTGACCATTCAGATGCATTTTGTTAATTCAGATAGTGAAATTTCAGTTATCAAACACACTTAATTAATAAGTACTTAATTAGTTCAGAACTTAATTCGTTAAGACTTTTTAGTAGCGATAATCAAACACACTTAAGTTCATTAAATACTTAAATAAATTAAGTCACTATATTAAGTTATTATCAAACAGAGCCTAAAACTTTGAGTTAGCCGAGGTTGAGGACGTTTTTTATCTGAAGACAAAAGAGACAGTCGGCTATTTAAACTTAAACAACCAAAAGCAACAAAATCAGAAGAGATACGAATGTGGGGACTTTGTTGAGATCATAAAACCAGGGATTGCGAACTAAGTAGGTGAAGAAAGAAAAAGCATAGTGCCAAAACTCTATGGTGGGATCATTTTGTCTATAAATAGACTAAAAAAGAAAACAAAAAATAATGATAAAACAACTAATTGTGTTTTTTCTCAAAGAAAAAAAGGGGGGGGGGGGAATGAGTGGAAATTTACCGGCAAAGCTTTTTTCGGTGCTAATTTTAACCGAACTTTTCTCCGAAACCCAAATGAGAAGAAAAAATGGAGGAAAAGTTGAAATATTATTTACATCATCATTCTTCTCTCCGTATACATAAACAGCAAACAACCCAAATTCAACTTACATTTCTCCCTCTTATAAAAGTGTAAAAAATCACCCAAAAAATAGGCTGTAAAACTAAACACCCAAACTTGCAAGACATTTTCTAGAACATAAAAAGCTCGGGCAAGTATAGTGATCGTCGAATAATTGAAACCATTTAAGGCCCAATGTATACACTTTCTATCTTCCATACATCTTGGATTGATCAATCAATCACAAAGAGGGCCAAGAATGAAACCATTTTCGTTACAAGATAGGCACCTTTGCTTCTCCTCCCCAACCACAACCTTACAACTTCCGCCGCAATCCATACACTGCACGAACCGAGCGCCGCCGCAATCTTCACAATCCAACCTTCCGACCCCTCTCTCCACCCGAGCCGAGTTGAAAATCCTCCTGAGCCGCCCGTGAATTGTCTTGCGGTGATTGTGACTTATTTTCACATGGATTAGGATTAACTTTTAGTCAGTATTAATTGAACTTTTATTGAGTCTTTTTTCCTTTTTTTGCGGTGATTTAGTGAGAAAAGACTGGGGAAGATTTTGGAGGTGAAATGAATATCAAGGAAGATAATATTTACATAATATGATTTCTATTCTAAATTTATTTGTGGTCATCTTTTGGGCCAAAAAATTTAAAGTTATCAAAACCAATGTGTCTGTTAATCACAGGGATTAAAATCATTGTGTATAATTATCCTTTTACAGTTTTATTAATTTATAAAAGTTATCATTGCAAATAAAAAAAGTCATAATTAGGGTTTCCCTTTCTTCTTTTCAAAGCCGCCGACTGCTAGAGTGTCAAATATCAAGAAAACATGCTTCGATGAAAAAGCCGGGGGACTTTCTTCCTTCTTTTCTACATTTGGTCAGAGGGCCGGCGTTCCCAAGGATGAAGACTTAAATACGTCGGGATCAACCGGAATCACCCCCTCCAAGAGAACGCCACCTATTCAGTTCGGCCAGGCACACAGCGGCAGAGGGACCGGATTCAAAGACGAAGCGCCACCTCGAAGAACTCGGCATCAACACGAAGCAAATTTATCAAAAGTCTCCATCCTTAACCCTTTCTGTATAAAACCCGACCTTCATTTTTTAGCCATCATCGTTGGTGATCACGCCGCTCGCGATGTCACTGCTGATTTTGTAGGAAACATCGCTAGTGATGCTCCAATAGTGTGCCCAACAGTGTGTTGACAAAGCGGACTATTAATCGTACGGAAAGCTATGACATAATTCATAGAGTATGTTCTTTCTTTGGTGGCAAATCTGCACGGCGAGTCGGGCGGCTACGACAATGATGAGAAGCTTCAGTGATGGTCACCGGCGAGCAAAGTTTTCAAAATCTCGATCCGAATCTTAGGATCTTACGATCCAGATATCCAGAATCAGGAAATCGATCCTGGATCTTATAAAATCTTTTTTTTGTAGTGGAATCTTATGGAATCCTTCAAAACCCCAATCCGGATAGTAAGACCCTACGATTTAGTGATCCTATTGATTTTATCGATACTTGTAGAAATTATTGATTCTGTATAAAAAATGATTAGAAAAAATATAAAAGTCGAAATTTTGAGTTGATAATACTTATGCAGGCACTAGTGTACTTTTCTTCCATAAAATTAAATAAGAATTGAACTAACGAACTGAAACTCGCAATTTCAGAATTATTATAATATTTTAAATGATTACCATCCGATTGATCCGATCCCACCGATCCAGAATGCGATCCGATCATGAGACTCCAAAACAATCCTATGTGAAATCCCGATTTTGAAAACATTCCCGGCGAGTACCAATCCGATGAAGATCAACATGAAAAATTGTCCGGTCATTTTGGAGATTCGGGTCGGCTTTACAATCGGTTGAAGATTTTAACCAATTATAGGTGAAAGTTAATTTATAAAAAATATTACCATTTTACATTTATAAAGTACACATATAAAGTGCAGTAAAATAAATCTACGAATTAAGAGATGACATGTGTACTTAAAAATTATTGATGGCCTAATTGACTGACATGTGTCTTTTGTAAATTTTTTTTTTAATATATAGTAATTAGATTCATGGGAGAGTTGTAAGGTTCACGAGGTAGCTAATATATATATATATATATATATATATATATATATAAGATGAGAATTAAGGTTGACACAAGGTTGGCCAGAACACTCTTTTGGAATTTTGGAATCAAAACCTGCATCCATGTCAAAATTGTGAGGAAGATTCCGCGAATCAGTTACCTGAATTCTACATAAATGGGGTATACAACTCAAATTGCTTCAACCTTAATCAATCTTTTTTGTCTTCTTTTTCTTTCCGTAGTGTGAGTTCTCTTTTTTATTTTGGTATAAATATTACCTACTCAGAATACCATCCTTCGACTAATTATTACAGTCACAATCCATGTCAATACTTAAATTGGCTAAATATTATTACCGGTTTAATCAAGTGTTTGGTTTGGGTGTAACGTGAATTTTAGGTAACAAGAATCGTGGTAAATTTGATGTTTGCCTCATTTGTGTTCTTTAAAAAAATGTCAAGTCCTTTTGTCTCTTATATTGGATGCTTGCTAACGATGAAATTAGAAGAAACTTAAAAAAAAAAAAAAGAAAAAAAAGAGGAGATACAGGCGTCTTTCAATGAACCAGAATCCAGTCAAAGATTTGGAAAGTGAATAAGTTCTTGTTATTAACGTTTTCTGCGTCCACCTATATTAATTCTATGTTTCTTACGTTAATCGGACACAATCATTCTTACGTAAGAGTTATTATTTGTTAAAGTTGAACTCTATTCTTCTTTTCAAATCACGAGTTTAAATTGCTGCCGGTTCTGGAATGATGAGCCAGTTCCCATCTGATCTAAAAAAAAATGACTTGAACTAAAGAGGTTTTAATTTTACGATTTGATCATTACTAGGATCC